AGACACCGTTTACTTCTCCCCCATGGCAAATACCTGAGAAATGGTGTGAAGTGAGAAAAGGTTTTTAGTGACTTGTAGTTGGAAAGGTTCAAGGCTGGACAGGTCCATTGTTTTGGGTGTGTGAGGCTGAAGCAGTATGTCATGGAAGCAGGCATTTGTGGTGGAAAAGGTTGCCTAATAAATGAGGGCCAGGAACTGGAGAAGTGGGATGATAGAATAGGTAGGTAAATATGCTACATTTTACCAGTGCGTACCCCCGAAATACAATTCCTTCAATTAGGCCCGACTCCTATTTCCAACATCTGCAGTAGTTCATCAAATTATGAATCCACTGAAGAGTTATTCTATTAAGTCAGATGCATTAAAAGCCAATCATTCTTCAAAAACCCATCATTTGGTAACCAGTGGTCTAAAACACAAGGCTATGGGAAAACATTTAAGGCTCAATCTCTGATGATTATTACAAAATGATCAGCTGTTTTGAGACAGACACGTCTATGTGTGCAGCCTGGTGCATAGAAATGCCTCAGCTCCCTGTCGTATGCCAGGGGATGAGAATCTTCTCTTCAACTTTGTCTCACTTTGTTCTGGTAGCCTTAAGGCTTTCGACATGAGAAGGAGGTTCCTGTTCTTGGGCTTCTCAAGCATAATGGACACAAGTGTTCAGAGGGTTCTTTTGAAGTGCTTTTCAATGGGTTTGATCTGAGTTGGTTTTCTTGTCTCCTCAGTTGTGGCAGAGATCTCAGCATTACACACTTGCATCTTCATAATCCTTGCCTGGACGTGGAGCTGTGTTAAGAGAAACTGAGTCCTCCTTTGCGGGTCCCACATGAATGGGAGGACTACCGAGTGTGCTGGGAAAGTGTGTGTGGGTGTTGACGGACTCAATACCTTCAATTTTTCTTTATTGAAGCCTGAGAATACTTTATTGTTTGAGTTTAAGTAAAACAACAACAATAACAACAGGGCAGTCAAACTGTAAATCTTGACAGTTTTATAGAGGAGGGCGATGGGGAAGAGGAAGAGTGAGAGCCTTGTCATCTGAGTTAGGCAAGTAGCCACAAGTCTGCAGAGTGCTTCAGAGAAAGAAATAAAAAGTTGAGAGTAACCAGGGAAGCATTCCCAGGCTCTAGACTTTATTCACAAGAAAGAAAAAGAAATAAAAAGAAGGAAGAAGGGAAAATGCTGTCTTTTTAGTAATGGAGACAAGAAGGGTGACTTGACAGGAGGGCATGGCAGTACTTTAGTAATGTTTGACAATATTATGAATTTTCTTGATCATTATTTTTTATGTATGGTTATGTCTTATTTGTATCTTATGTGTGTACCTGGTCACTGCTGTGTCCAGAAGCGGGAATTGGATCTTCTGGACATGGAGTTATAATGTAAAGTGCTATGTTGGTGCTAGGAATTGATTCCTGCTTCTCAGGGCAAGCTTGTACTCCTGACAACTGGTCCATCTCATGCCTTCAATTGCTGATGTAGGAGCCAAAGAGAGACTGAAAACACAACACACAACATGGTTTAGTTAAGTTACTGAAGCCCTTAGACAAGTAACCTAGATGTAACCCTTCCTCCATTAAATACAATGGTACCTGTCCAGTCTGGCATCTCTTGGGACAGACCTGTTTTCTGACAGACATCTTATGTAGTGGTCTGAGAGCAAACAGTCCTGTTCTGTTTCTGAGGGTGAGGTAACGCATCTGTATCCCTGGAGAGTCACTGGTGACACTATGCTCACTGTTACTAGGTGCCCACCTCCGCCTGCAGTGAAAGCTGCCTTCCAGGGTTCAGGCAGGTTGCACGTCTGGGAGCCCCCCACTGCTGTTTTGATTGCAGTCCCTGCCCTGAGGGACATTTTGCAGACCAAAGAGGTAAGAGCATGTGGGGCTGGAATCTGAGGGGCCCACAGGACACTCTGAGCCTAGTGTCTTTCTCCATCATCTTAGTTACAGTTCTACTGCTATGAAGAGACAGCATGAGCAAGCTGTAGCTTATTTAAAAAAAAAGCATCAAACCAAGGCCTTACTTACAGTTTCGGAGGCTGAGTCCATGTCCATTATAGCAGGTAGGAGGCATGGTAACAGGCAGGTAGGCAGGCATGGTGCCCCAGCAATGGTTGAGAGCTTACACTCTGGCCCACAGACAGCGGGCAGGCAGAGATTGTAGAGTGACTCCAGTGTGTGATTTTGAGCTCTCAGATGCAACCCCCATTGACACACCTCCTCCAACAAGTCTACACCTGCCTTTCTATCCCCATCAATTTATCAAATAGGTACCAAACATTCAAATATATGAGCCTATAGGGGCAGTTCTTATTCAAACCATGACACCCATATCCTGAAGTGTTGCACAATCTCTGCTTCCCTGTGGACTTCAGGTAGGAACATCATCAAGGATGCCACTCTTAAAATTGTTCTTAGGAAAGTGCTTTATTGAGATAGGTAAGTTAATGAACCATAATTGCACAGCCTAATGAGTTGTCCCCTCACAAATACTGTACATCCTATGGCCCCTGATCAAGAAACATTGGTTGTGGTTCATGCCTTTAATCTCAGCACTAGGAGGCAGAAGCAGGCAGGTTTCTATGAGTCAGGACCAGGCTGGCCTATGGAGTGAGTTCCAAGACAGTCAATGCTACACATACAATCTCTGTCTCAAAAGGGGGGGGGGGATAAAAAAAAACACATGGAATTAGCTACTTCTGCAAGTGGTGCAGGTCTATAATCACAGCACTGAAGAGGGGGAGGAAGAAGGCTGAGGAATTCAGGGTCATCTTCTGCTATTCAGCTCAAGGCCAGAAAGAGATACAGGAGATGCTGTCTCAACAGAAGCAATAGCCCTCACATAAAACAGACATAGAGCACATACTCCTTTTCCTTGTGTCTTTGCCTGTGATATAAACTCCAGCCCTGGTCACCAAGAATAATTCATAAGTAATTAATTAGTGTTGCAGAAATGTCTGTGTGTCTCCCACAGACATGAAGAGATGTCTTCTGTGCCCCAAGGAGCAGTACTCGAGCCACACCAGAGACCGTTGCCTGCCCAGGACAGAGATCTTCCTGGCCTTTGAGGAACCTCTGGGATTCATCCTGGCTCTGGTGGCACTCTTCCTGTCTGGTCTGTCTGTCCTGGTTCTCGGAGTGTTCCTGAAGCACCGAGACACACCCGTGGTCAGGGCCAACAACAGAACTCTCAGCTACTTACTCCTGACCTCTCTTTCCCTCTGTGCCCTGTGTGCCTTGCTCTTCCTTGGCCGACCCACTGTGGCCACCTGCTTTCTTCGCCAGACCACCTTTGCTGTGGTGTTCACGGTGGCTGTCTCCTCTGTTCTGGCCAAGACTCTCACAGTGGTTTTGGCCTTTAGGGTCACCAGGCCAGGGGGCAGGATCCAGGTATGCCTGAACCCTGGTGCTTCCACCTCAGTGGTCTTTATTGCTTCCTCAATTCAGGTTGTTCTTTGTGGGGTCTGGCTGGCCATCTCGCCCCCATTCCCAGACAGGGATATGGTCTCAGAGCCCCAACACATTGT